CTTTCTATTTCACTAAGTGAATCAGACGTTTAGTATTAGACAGCCTCTCCTTTGGTTACATACAGCTGCAGGCATTGGGTGGGACTGTGGTTGCAAATACCTAAGAGGAAATACAGAGAACAATGCCAACATACAAGCAGTGAGAGGCTCTGTGCAACGTTATGCAATGCTACTGACCTCTTTAGGGGCAGCTGGAAGACAGTTACCTTCAGAACATGTTAGCTGGATAACACAAAAACAGATTAATGAAAGTCTTTGTTAAAATCCATTTGGAAGCAGTCCAGCTGTAATCATCTGCCTTCTGCTCTTCCTTGAGCACTGGACAACTCATCACATGAGTATTTATGGCCTGGCGGCTGTTTGTGCACAGATCTTAAGTCTGCTCTTAAGTCTGAGATCCTCCTATGTAGTCAAGTAAAACCACTAACGCTTTGACTCTAGTAAGGAGAGGAAGAGGAGAGAAAGAAAGGAAGAAAGAGGGGCAACATGTTAGAGACAAGCGAGAGAAAACAAGTTAAGGAAACTCTAAAACATTATCCATATCTCCTGCGATCTGGGCACAGGACAGGCAGGCATACTTGCTGTGGTTCAGGCAGCAGAACAATACCAGAGTTCCCAGGCAACAACCGTACACAGTGAGCAATCACAGCACTTGACACACTGCAAATCCATAGGCTGCAATTTGTTTGGGCAAATGACTCAGCCACAATTGATTAATCAAATACTTAACGTCTCTTACACTCTCAATTAGCAAACTCGGTAAAATCATGATCAATGTGAAGACTGTTAGCAGCACAACACCCTCCCTCACCCTGGTACACTTCCCCAATTAGCTTCATTATTCTCATAAACTCTTGTTGACCTGTCAGTCATGTCTATCACTGAAGTTTTGATATTTCAAGGCAACTGTCTGGATAATTCAGATAATCATTAAAACTTGTACACATTTTTGCTGCTAAAGGTTTCTCCTATTATTAAAACTGGGTGCAGTGAGGATGCCCAAAATAACGAACTCATTTTGCAACACATGAAGAATAAACACAGCCTACCTGAACTGTCCCACAGACACCTCGCTTGCAAGCTACATGGAGATCTGCATATCATGGCAAGACGGGCGAGGATGAAAAATGATCACCATGTCAGTTACCAAAATGAAACAACTCTAACCCAATGCAGTGTTAAAGGTCTGCAAATCGTATTTCCAAATGTTGAGATAAAAACCACATATATAAACCCAACAGTACTTAAAGGACTTGTTTTCCTGTCTGCAATCTCCAGTGTTGGGGGTCACCCTTTTGCAGGCTGCTGAATGAACGTGTGTGAATCAGCCTGCATGGCAGGAGAAGTCGCACTGCAGAGCAGGCAGGTCATGCACTGAGTGACATGCAGGCACCCCATTTCCTCAGCTGCAACTGCCTGGGCATCTCTGCCCACAGAGAATGGGTCAGCTGGAAAGAGCACAGTCCTGCTTCATCCCTTCGGGTAAACAAGCCTTGACCTTAGTCAAATAGCTTAGGATTGTTAACAAGGAAGAACTTTGTCAGGCATTTGTCATGCTCGCACTGGTTGATGAATAGAAGCTGGGAGATGGAGTGGTGAAATGAAGGCTGAGGAACAAAGCTGCCCAAACACAAAAGGAGACCTGGAACTATGCAAACAGCTACAGACAGACCTTGTTCATCATAAGGTCAAAACACAAGAAGGCAAAGCAAGATGCAGAAGATCCAGCAGACACAACTAGACATCAAGGAGGAAAAAACCCTTGTAGTCCAGTCCTGCACTCATCTTTTCCATGACAGCAGCACCAGGCTCCTGTCTGCCAGCTAGGCAATATCTAGCCAGCCCGATTTTCAAGCCCGATTTTGCCTAATCTTTTCCAGTGGTTTTGCTTCCTGGCTTTGCCTTCTGGTAACATCAGCATTAGACATTTGAATAAATAATAATTAAAACACACTAGCATTGAGTTTTGCTGTGAGTAGCATTTTTCCACCAAAGGGATGTAAGCTGCTTGCCAGTCATCCACAATTTTGTTTGGAAAAAAAAAATAAAAAAAATAAACAGAGTAGTCAGAGACTAGTCAGATTTGCAATGGCTACCTGTTTCCCATAAATTATTTCTCCAAGAACTACAGAACACTGTTGGGAGTGATTCTCCACACCAGCTGCCTGGGGACTGAAATGCTAGGGATCTGAATCAGAGTTAGAAGCCCCCTGACACAGCAGAACTACAAGCATGTGCAGGCACATGTCTGACTGTGTCTTGCTTATTTTGCAGATCAGCAATTTAAATGAAAGTCCATAAGAGAAACAGGCATTTGATTTGGATGTAACTACTTCAAACATTTCCAAAGCCCTTGGGTGAGTCATGACACCTCCCATTACCCAAAACCTTTAGATGTTTGTGTCTAAAAATGGAATCAGGAGATCTACCCGTCACAGTCAAGACTGATTCAAGTCAACAGTGCTATAAACCAATTCTTCTACAAGCAGTAACACCTCAGCTGTGAATCACTGGAACATAGTGAGTAACCTCTAGTGGAAATTAGAGCTTATTGCTTTACCACAATTTTCTTTCTTACCCCAAAAACACCAGGAAAAAAATTAAGTATGATCTGTCTTAAGCGTGTACCCAGGAGGAAGAAGAGATAGAGCACTGATCATTTATAGCAGTAGCTTGAAAGGAAAGGCTGTGATTATCAGAAGAAAAAATACAATCTTTTTAATCAACCCAGTTTCTGCTAATAAATGTGTGTACATTCACTTTTTGATCAGACTTTTTACACTGGCTTTTGTCCAGTCTCTAAAACTGTAGGATGTGCAAAAATTCTTACTCTGGTGTACAAGAAACCTAGGGAAACAAAAAGGCAAGAACAATGTACAGAATGGATCTGGATGATAGACATTCCAAAGGCAAAATTATTACAGGCTATTATCTAGTTGTCTGGAGGAGCCGTGGACCAGCTGGCTGTGATGTTCTGCTCGAAGTTAAACACAGACAGGAAACCGCATGTCTGATACTGTAAAAATCGTTTGTCTTCCTGCCATGGCTAACCAGGCAAGCAACCCAAAGGGGCTGTTTTCATTTAAGAGAAACTCTAATCCACAAGAACAAAAAAAGGAATGACACAGCCCCAATTCTCCCCCCCTCCCTCAACTGGAGTTAATGTTTGTGTTTGTGAATGAACTTGAAACGTTAGAAACTGAAGTTTTACATTACTTAAATTTTTATCTGTAGTTATTCACTTATTACATGTGAATGCAGGACATAGTTTTCATGAGTCACCTGGAGTGCTTACAACACATGATCTAGAAGGAAAGGCTCCACTCCAAAGAATGAAAGGAACTAGGGTAAAATGACTGGGTTTTATTCTATGCTACAGCTCCTTTTAGGCTGCTCTGGAAGTGTGAGGGGGGCTGCAGAGTAGATTGGAATGAAGGCATTTGGTGTTGAATTTATAGAACGGTTTTTCATAAACATACACACAGAAGGCACACATTTGTCAGAGTGATTGTATTCAACTACATAGTTCCAGGAGAAATAGCTATAAACTGATTAATTTATCACAAATTAGCCAAAATCCACAAGGGTGTGGTTTAATTTGTATAAAAACTCTAGACAGCAGACACGGAGTAAGATGTTTTCACTTCACATTCTCTTCAACAAAAATCAAGGCAATTCGTTAGAATTAGGTCCTATGTCCACCACTTCTGCTCACATCAATACCAGTATTTATTCCAATTCCTTTAAAGCCCACCCAAGTAAGAGTTGGTCATATAACCATGGATCAGCAGTCAAGGTTGTCTGGTTTCAAATCAAGAAAATGAGGAAGAGGGGAGGCACTGTCATCAGACATGAATAGCCTGGGCCACAGGTGGCAAAGTCTTTCTAGCTTGCTCTTGGCTAATCTGACATGATTGCAACCTGAACTAGTTAGCCTTCTTGGAGGGCTGGAAAGCGGGGGGCTAAAAGCCATTTACATAGTTGTCCACCTCAGTGCAGTCACGCAACATGTTTCCCAGGAGTGGAAACAGTGTCCCAAACCTTTAATCTCAGAGAATAAGGATTTGATTATATCATTTTCTGAGGAATTTAGAGGTGATAAGGATGGGTTCTATGTTCCATATTCATTTAGAAAAGTGCATGCACACAAAGTTCTCTACAGGAAAACTTTGTCTCACACTTGCCTGTGAGAGACCTGACTTAGTAATAGAGTCACTGTGGGATCCATCAGGTAGAAGAAAAATGATGTGTATGCATGCACCCATGCACATCTGTGTGTGCAGCATGAGGTCCACTAGCACTGTACACACCCGCACTGCCTTCAACTGTGTTTGCAGTGGTCTATATAGGCATTTATGAAGTAGAATAGGGACAGGTTATGCACTTGTGATTTGGTCTATACTCAGATTTTACTGGTTTAACTGAACTCACATATGCATCCTCGTGCCGTGGTAAGCATCAGGTAGCATATCCACCAGTGAAGGAACATTTTAGTTACTTCACACCCACCACAGAACAGTGCAGATGGTCAGTTACAACAGAGAAGTTGACTTTAGATTCACAGCCTATCAAGCTACTCAGTGGTATCTGTATATAGATGTCACATTGGCAATACAGCCTTTTAGAAGAGGCAAGACCTTAAATAAAACATAAGCAAGAGGCAAATGCTGTATGATGTAATTAGCATATGTTGTATTTTGGTGTGTCAACAGAACAACTCTAAACATCTTGCTTTCATCATGCCTTTCATCAATTTCTAAGTGCAATGTCTTTAGCTGAGTATTACATTTACTTCAAAAGGAGGACAGCCTGGCAGGAAGAAATATCCTCTGAACACAGAAAAGAAAGGCTGAGACGTTGCAAGACTTGGAAGAGACCAAAACAGTTCCTGCCACTAGAAGTTTTTCTCCACAAAACACAATTCCCAAGTCCACCAGTATGACAGTTAATATTACTTGCATGGTATAGCCCAGGAACACAGGACAAATTTTTAAACCTACCTGATGAGAAAATGAGTCTATCGTTGCATTCGTCACCTGTACAGGAACACATGAACATCAGTCCCCCATCTCCCTTCTTTTCCCTCATCAAACAGTCATCTGAGCTGGAGACATCCAACATGTGACCATACAGTGTTTTCTGAGGATCATGGCATATTGTTTCTAATGTCACATTTTCATCATTCTGTCGCCTAAAAATGAAAAGGAGACAATTGAAATCAAAGACAGAATACTTTACAAAGGGAGCAGACAGGATTGTGCCTGCCTGAAATTTGCCTCTTTTGAGAGCTCAAATAGGATTTAAAGAGTATCATACACTCTTCTCCAGCTTTCCTGAATGGGGTAAATCTGGCTGCATCTGGGGTCCTCGCATTGAGGCATTTGTAAAATGGCACAGCTATTCCTGTATCTTATTAGCACTAAGGTCCAATGAGTGCCTTTGAAAATCTCAATCAGAATTATTCAAGTTAATGCTCAATGAACTGCTGTGAACTTCAGAACATACTTTTGGTTTTTGTGGTCACTGTGCAGACAGTAAAAATCTGTGGGAAATTATGATAAAAACTGAATTATTTCCTCAAAATCAGAAGAACTTCTAGTGAGCTGGCCTTTTCATTTTGCTTTTGAAGACAACAATCAACACAATTTCTGTCCTGAAGGAGCTAGCCTTATAAGAAAAAAAAAAAAAAAGCCAAAACAACCAAAACCCAGTAACAACCACAGAACTGGTGCTAGCTAGAGCTTCCTTATTGTCAGGGAAGTATTTACAGCTGATAATCTGGACCATATTCTTCTGTTTTGTCCTGGTCTGTAGATTTAGTTTCACTGACACAAGTCTCAGAGGCAAAGAGCACTTTAAGTACAGTAATTTTCATTTTGGATAAATTGACATGAAAAATCCAGAATCTACCTTCAATGGCACTGCAGCCACTTTTTATGGTAATAATAGGCACAGGACAAATATGGAAGAGCACACTGTATTGATTCTGCATTTCAAGTGTCTTGAAACCAATTATGCTGAAAATCTCTTCAAGTCAATGGACATGACTAATCCCTCAATAAATTAATTAATTATGTCTTTCTGTAAGTGGTTCTAATTATGTTCCTAAATCAGCAGTAATGTTACAAATACTCAGGTCTTTTCTTTTTGTCCACTCATTAACTAATTAAGAGTGTTTCTGGTTTTCTTTGGTAGGATTGGCTTACCATTTGTGGATAGGCAAACCCCCAGCCTTTACACTGGAATGCAATTTCAGAGTCCACAAATCCTAGAAAAGTGTTACAATGCATCTTCATATACTCTTTTAAACCTATTCATATGATATATGAAAAGCTCTATGTCTACATCCGAGTCACTACATACACAGAAGACATTTTTACTGTTAGAGAGTATTTCTACCTACGTATGGTAAATAAGCCTCCTGTGATAGAGCTGCATAATCTAGTTCACTTTGAAACCTGAGAGTGAAATGTCTTTCTTCAGTAAATGTCATCACAATTCTCTGAGTCTCAAATCTGTTTCTACTCTGAGTGCTGTGGGTGGATGCAGCTTAATAGTTTGAGCAAAAACATGCCTCTCTTCCAATAACAGCATAAGCTGGAACAGAAGAGCTTCAGAAGAAAAAAATCCCCATAACATTTCATACCAGAATTGCTGTTAACCTCAAGCAACTCTCAGTATGCTGAGCACAGATAACAAATTGGAAGTGAGAGAGTAAAGCCCGGTGAGGTAGCAAGGACATTCTGAACATCAGAGCAATCGAGGAAAGTATTAAGTAATGATGACTGAGGGCATGCTCCCCTCCCCTCCTCTAAGAAGAAATAACTTACCATATAGCGACACAGACTTCACTATTCATCTCACAGATAGAAGTGATGCTGCAGTTGCTCTTGCACTGATGTTGGTTTGAGCACGTTGTTACTTCAACGTCACAAAATTTGCACAGCTTTGACATTTTAAATCCATTTTCCTTATTTCTGTCTACAGTTGTCATAATTTCAGCTTAAGGAAAAAAAGAGAAGGAAACTCAATAATGGCAGATTACCAGATTGCATTATTGCTCATTATGAAGATGAGGTTTTCATCAGCAGCAAATATTTCCTCCCACCTTAAATCAGAAAATCTTTGATCTTTCACACGTACCAGTTTTCTTTACAACAGGGTAAATGCCACAGTGTCAAGACTAGGTTAATCAAAGTGAACTAGAAAAATGAAATCAACTTCTGTTCACTTGAAAAGGAGCAAAAGTTGCTTTGTCATTTGCAGAATCAAGCTGATTTCTGAGTCTAGTTTGCCCTAAAATAACTCTTCTGCAGTCACCCATTTGCATTATTCACATGCAGCATATCCATCCCCCATGTACAATATATTGCATCATGGTCTCTGTGATGAAGTAATTGTGAGTACCACAGTGGGAATGCATGTTAGGCAGGTGACATCATTAAGACAGGGATCATGATGAATTCCGCGAGTTCGTCTTTACTAATGTAAGGCATAAACTGGACCACTGCCCTAATCTGAGTACTGTTCACATAGAAAAACACGGAGCTGGAAGTGACTTTCAACTTAGACAGTCTGTCAGAGGTTGTGGGTAAAACTCAAACTGGAAATGCAATAGGGCATCTGGGCAGCTCATGTAACCTGCTTTGGGAGTCTTCCTGGGCTAACTCTAGGAGATTTGAATTCAAACTAATTTGCAATGACAGTCTTGTTTTGTAGAAGTCTACTTTAACCCAACAACTATCTTTTTGCACCCAGGCATTGAAGAATTACTTACTGCTTCTGAGTCTTAGTACTCACCATGTATTTTAGTGTGGTAGCAGTAAGGGAAGAGATAGTTTTTTGTCCCAGTGTATGAATTTCAGGAAACATATTTTTAGTTCAAAAACTATTTTGAAAAGCCAGTGTGACTACAAGGAACAGAAAATGCCAACATAAATTTTTTTCTAAAGCTAAAATGAATATGCAACTATCTGAAGTGGAGCAGATTATCTACAACAGTTTCGGACTGACTCATTTTGTAATATATTTAGCAAAGTAGGTTGAACCACTTCAAGGAGATATTTGGCTTCATATAGCACAGTCCTTTTCTTGTAGCCACTTTTGTGTTAAAACTATGTTCATATTGCTTTCTGTGGCCAAATGTTGCTTGTCAGCTGATAATAGGCAACTAGGGATTTGTAATTTCCCCTCTCTCTTCCATTAGTGGAGAAATCAATTTTTCCTTCTAGAATGTCACTATTTACTACCATTAGAATATTTTATTACAGGAATTAAATATACATGCTGTTTCCAGAAGGAAATAAAAAGGCCTCTTGGTTACATTTTCAATGGATTTCTCAGCCATTGTGAGAGACTGAGAGAAAAATCTTCCTTCTTCATCTGAATCACACATCTTTCTCACCACTAACATGCTCTGGTACTGACCTAGATCTGATCTTACTGCCATTGTAATCAGCAGCAAAACTCCCAGTAATTTTAATGGTGCAGAAGCAGCTCCTACACATTGGAGAGGGTCATGATGAGCACACGGGGAGCACTTAATCAGGTGGAGAATGCTGGCAGCAAATTATGGGCTGGTTGAATTTTAAACCTCAGGTAAACATCTCTTGTTCTGAATTATTTGTGTAGCAATAACTCCCAGAAGTTATCCTGAAGAGCAAGGCCTCATTGGAGTAGGTGTGGTAGGAACTCAGAAGATCTTAAATCTAGAGTTCTATAAAATATATGTTATTATACTAATCATTAGGGCCAATTGCTCCTCTCTTCTGGATGGTACCTCTTATTTACCACACGTTGAAGAGAAACTAATAGCTGTACTGATTTATCTAGGTTCCAGTAATGATCAAAACCACCTCATACTGTGGGACTGTCCCTCCAGTAAGAGAAAATCCACAGTCCTAAGAGCCAGGATGCACGATACAGAAAAATATCGTGGGAGAGCCAAAGTGACTCACCAAAGTTCACGCAGGAAACCTGTGGCAGGGTGCCAAGCAGCTCACAACTGAGCCCAGGGGAAAGACATCTGCTGCTCAAACTGCAAAGACTTTAGCTGCATCTACCCTGCTTCCAGCTCAGAGCTCACACGGCTCCGTGTTTCACTGGGCAGCTGTGCCACGACGGATCCTCTGCCACAGAAACGACTCAGTCCTGTCTAGTGCCTGCAGCACTGGAGTCAAAAAGCCACAGAAAGGTGGGTCCTTAGGTAAACTGATCCAAGCACATTATGTTTGTGAAGAGGCAGGGCTCGTTCCTGTACCAGCCATGCCAGGTTCTGCCAAGACCCATCCATTGGAACAAACAGATGAAAGTATGTTTGGACATCTTCCAAGGAGAGCTCTCCAAATTAAGCAACTTTTTAAAATTTTTTTTTTAAAAAAAAGGTGCAAAGAAAGCTATCTGGAAAGCAGCAATCCACTACAAGTGCAAAGTCACAAACCTTAAGTTTGTAAGTTAGAATAGTAGGCCTTAATTCAATTGCTAGTAAAAGGCTGGGAAGTTAGGGCCAGCTAATTTCTGAACATGTTAAATTAATGGCAAAACTAAAGGGGTTTTAGGACTTCCAGAGCTGATTAAACTTGAATTTTCTCCTCAAAATTCTTGTAACAGTGCCTCTGTATTCACACTTCCAGCAGTTCAAGGTGCTGGATAAACCAACCCAGGTGGACAAACTTTCTTCCGTGCTTCAGAATCTGATGTAAAGTGAGACTGCAGTTAACATTCCCTAATATTGTCAACATTGCTCTGGCAGGTATTGGTATGCTGCATTAATACAGCATGGCTTTGCCCAATGTGACAACCCATATAGTTCCAAACTAAAGCCAAGTCTGACTTTCCTCTATCAAGACTGGTGCCGAAATCAACCTCTGCAAAGAGCCTTAGATGAAATCTGGAGTTGGATGTGAACCTGAACATCACTCGTGTCTGATCACTAGACCCTGAGGACTTAGAAATCCAGGACAGATTGGCCTCCTTCCAAGTCACATGAACTCAGACTTATCTCTAATCAACAAAATCCCATCTGGAGAATGACAAGCTGGTAGATGCCTTCCTTAGGAAGTGTATTCACTGACTTTCTGATGGGCCCACAGTCAGGGAATGGTGTACAACCAGCAAGATTGTTCCTCCTCTTGTAGTTACTTGAATGCCTATCTCTAAAAATGATTGAGTATCTTGCTGTGCACTTCATAACCCATGAACCAATTCCTCAATGTTTTCTCCTGCTCAGAATATCAAAGTAACTTAAACACTGTGGAGAGGAGCAATCTTTCATTTTTTAAAAAAAAGTTTTTATAATGGGAAAGTCAATGGAGAAAACAGAGATTTGCACGTCTGAAGGAAGTCATCCTAAAATGTGTACTTGTCTCCCAAAATTTGAGTTTTGCCAACTCTAATGTTACTTTTCTTATTTTGACTTCTACAGGAAGCCTAATTCTAGCTTTCCTTGCTTCCCGTCCATGGAGAGGGCTCCAAATAAAAGCACGTAGTTTCTCAACTGAAGCTTTCATCCAACCAGGTCAGCATAGATCAGTCACTGTGGTTAAAATGCATGGAACATGCAAGCCAATATGTGGGCTGGATATTATGGAAATCACACCAGACCAGCCACATAAGAAATATCAACTCTGTGGATTCTGGTGGAGCTAGGCATGCAGGACAACACTTTTACTCTATGGTTCACCTCTTTTTTACGATTTCTCAGGACCTTATAAACAGTGAGCCTCACTGAGTCTATTGACTGTCCTGAAGTTGTTTGCTTTCTGTCTGTTTTTGTAGATGTGTAACTTTCATTGGGGCCTCAGGCTACAGTTTACATTCCTTTTATTTTTTAGTCTTATTACAGAACCCTTAAAAGCCAACAACATTTAAATACAGCCCAACCAACATGCTGTCTTTTGGGCAATATCTACACTGGAAAACTTTATTTATGTCTTAGGATGCATTTCAGAAACAGCAGTCAATTTCTCTTACTTCTATCTTGTAAAATACTGTTACTGCATTTCCTTTCTATCATGCACATGTATACACATAAAACAGCATTGCTGAGCAGACAGATCCCATCCCTTCAAAAAACAATTGCTGAGGGAGATGTTGCAATAGGAACTCAACTACTCAGCTGCTGTGAAATCCACCTGGTGGGAGAGACTTGTATTTAAGACTTCACTCCACTACACTATGGAAATCTGCAAGGAGGAGGATGCCTTTATCAGAAAGCTTTGGAGAAGATTATCCCTGTTCTTCCAAGGAGCACAGCTCCACAACATCATATCTCAGTGGCTGGAAAGCACAGTAGCAGCTATGAAGAACATCTCATCCTACAGAAAGACATCAGGTTTTGCCAGGAATAGTTCCAAGCACAGCATTTTTCCTATTTTGCTTACCACTCCCACTACGCTATCTATAACCCAAGCAAAACTTTGATAGTGATGGGGACACTGCTAGCATCATAGAAGTGGAGAAGTGATGATGCAGAAGCACATTCTTCATCTTACAAATATTGATGAATTAATTGCAAGAGCGAAGAAGTCAAGGAAAATGCATGATCCAAGCTTTGCTTTTAAGATCTGGATAAATCCTGATAGTTATTCTCAGTTATACAGATTACATTCAGTACAGTAATACAAGCAAGAAAAGATGGATCCACAATCAACTCCAAAGATTCAAAAATTATGAGTTGTAAAAATCACAAGACTAGCCAGAGAGATCACGGAAACAAAGAAGAAAAAGAAACCAAACCCAAATGAAAAAAACCAACTTCTGGGTTTTCCTTTATTTTCCATTGCTGTTTTGAAACTTTGGCCATAAGCAGGAGAGTTGGAATTGCTGCCTAACATAAAAAATGAAGAGATAAAAAGAAAATAAATTACTGGAATCCAAGAGCTTGATCTTCAAGAAAAATGTCAGTTATCATATGACTCATCATAAAATCACAGGAACTGGCAACGCTGCAGATCACCTAGCAACTTCCAGGACAACACCTTCAGGGGTAATCCT